AGAGAAAACAACAGTTGGCAGTACAAAAAGTGTAGAGTGAATGCAATTAGTAAACAACGTGCAAAGCAGCAGCACTTTGCAGAAGCATAGCAAAAAGCACGAGTCAACTCAAACTGTACCATCATTACTGCTTCTTTTCACCAGTAATTGAATGCTAAAATCAAGCACCACTGTACAAGCACCGTCATGATCACTTTTAAAAGCCCCCCCCAGCTACCTACAGAGGAGCAAGAATCAGTCTTTCACTTCTCTTTCAGTGACTTGTTCCTAAAATATTCAGGTGAAGGTTGAAAATCTGCATCTGAACTTCAGTATTTATGAAGAGAGGCTGTGTGACTCACTGACACCCCTCTGCACAGATATTATACTAAGTATGACTTCAAAGGACACCTGAGGTGTCGGCTCTCTTTTTTTAAGCAGAGAAAATCGTCTTTTCTGATTTAAATTGCTTTACTTATTTTACTGTATCTCAGTGATACTGTGGTCTCGGAATGCCGCTAATCTGATATAAATGCAGAAATAGACTAAATAAATGAAACTTGCTCTAATTTCATAATAATCTCATAATAATTTTAAAGAAGTTCCCAGGAAATAACAATGACATTTGCTACGAATTATAGGGAAAATATTGCTGAATAAAAGCTGAATTTAAAACAAAGTAAATTATATTTAATTATTAATTGTAAACTTCTCCATGGACATGTTGCATCTTATATTTGTATGAAGACAAATTTCACATTTATGTATGTTCATCTGATCCGCTCTTTAAGTTACTCTCACACTCAATTTGAATGAAATTATTGGAAAGTGATTAATTTGGTGAAAAAAACACATCGTTTCTTTTAAATGAGCTCTGTGACTTTTTAACAGTCACTTCAAACAGAGGACCCCTGACCCCTTGGGCCCCTAGCCCTGTATCCGGCAGGCCTGCTCGGTAATCCGTCCATGTAAGGTTACGATGGTATAAAACAATTGAGGCACACTAATGATGGGACAAGAAGAAGAAGAAGAGAAAAAAAAAAAAAAAAAAAAAAAAAAAAGAAAGAGAGAGAG